GCGGAGGGGGCCTCGAAGCACGGCGGCGGCACCATGCCGAAGTCCAAGCGGGACCGCAAGGGTGAGCGCCGCGACCCCGCACCCCCCGTCCCGCTCCTCCGTCCCCTCCCCGCCCTAACGCGCCCTGCCTGCTCTCCTCCCCGCAGTCTCCCTGACGCGGACGCCCAGGAAGGGGTTGGAGGCCAAGCAGGCGCTCATCGCCGAGGTGAGTGCGGCCCAGCCCGCCGCGGTGCCCCGGTCCCCCCCTCCCTCTCCCGGTTAACCGGTACCTTCCAGCTCCGGCGGTGCGTGGACACCTACAAATACATCTTCGTCTTTTCCGTGGCCAACATGAGGAATAACAAGCTGAAGGACGTCCGAAACGCCTGGAAGCACAGCAGGTGAGGCGGGGCGGCGGCAGGGGGATGCTGCCCGAAGGGGAGCGCGGCCTGGGAGCTGACAGCCGCCGCCTCCTCCTCCCCTTCCTCCCGCTGCCCCAGGATCTTCTTCGGGAAGAACAAAGTGATGATGGTAGCACTGGGACGGGAGCCGAGCAGCGAGTACAAGGAGAATCTGCACAAGGTAGGGGCTGTTTGTTTTGGGGTTTTTTTTATGTAACATTCTAAGGCTTCACTTGGCTGCACCACAGAATAAACATCAAGGGACAGCGGAGCTTTCCCGGGTCTGTAGCGTGACTCAAAACTCTATTGTTAGCGGAGCTTTTGCAGCTGTACAGGCCTGAGCGCTAAGGGATAAGCCCCTGGTGCTGCCCGAGTCCCACAGACAGTTTCTCTCTTTCAGGTCAGCAAACACCTGAGGGGTGAGGTCGGTCTCCTCTTCACTAACCGCACCAGAGACGAGGTGGACGAGTAAGTATGGGTCTGTCACAGCCGAGGCTTTGAAATGCTGAGCAGCCATTTTCCCACTCAACTACTTCACTTGCTGATGTTTCTCTTAAAGCAGTGATGATGTCATCCTGAGGGACCTGGGCAGGCTGGAGAGGTGGGCGTGGGCAAACCTCCTGAAGTTCAACAAGGCCAAGGGCAAGGTCCTGCCCATGGGTTGGGGCAATCCCAAGCATAAATCCTGGCTGGAGAGCAGCCCCAAGGATAAGGACTTTGGGGTATTAGTTGGTGGAAAACTGCCTGTGAGCCAGCAACATGCACTCGCAGCTCAGAAAGCCACCCGTGTGCTGGGCTGCACCCAGAGCAGTGTAGGCAGCAGGGCGAGGGGAGGGATTCTCCCCCTTTGCTCCAGTCTTGGGAGACCCCCCCCTGCAGTGCTGGGTCCAACTCTGGGGGCACCAACAGCAGAAGGACACGGACCTGCTCGAGCAGGGCCAGAGGAGGCCATGAAGATGCTCAGTGGGCTGGAGCACCCCCTGTGAGGACAGGCTGAGAGAGTTGGGGGGTTCAGCTGGAGAAGAGAAGGCTCTGGGGAGACCTTAGAGCGGCCTCTCAGGGCTGAAAGGAAAGCTGGGGAGGGACTCTGCATCAGAGAGCACAGGGATAGGACGAGGGGTAACTGTTTTAAACTGAAAGAAGGTAAATTTAGATAAGATGTAAGGAAGAAATTTTTTCCTTTGAGGGTGGTGAGGCCCTGCCACAGGTTGCCCAGAGAACCTGTGGCTGCCCCCTCCCTGGAAGGATTCAAGGCCAGGTTGGACGGGGCTTTGGGCAACCTGGGCTAGTGGCAGGTGTCCCTACCCATGGCAGGGCGGTGGGAACTGGGTGGTCTTTAAGGTCCCTTCCAACCCAAACCATCCTGTGATTCTATCATCTCCTGAGGCTTTTCCACTCATCTTTCTCAGCCATCCCTGCAAGAGCAGGGAAGAAGTTACGGCAGGCCACGCCATAACCCCCATCTCAGCCAAGGGATGTTCTTAGCACAGCTAATGCTCTCGTCACCTGTCTCTGTCTCAGGTGGTTCTCCACATTCAAAGAGGTGGACTTTGCCCGCGCAGGGAACAAGGCAACGTACACAGTGAGCCTGGACACAGGGCCCTTGGAGCAGTTCCCCCACTCCATGGAGCCTCAGTTACGGCAGCTGGGATTGCCAACAGCATTAAAGAAAGGTACGTGAAGCAGCTGGGAAGGTAAGCTTCATTTTTCATCTGTGCCAATAAGATCTTTTAAGAAGAAGATTAAATAATCAAGTAGAACTTAGTTTTGGAGAAAATGTGATGGACAACTTTCTCCTGGTTCAGCTGGTTCTATATACTTCTTGCAGCATTCTTCCCAAACTGATGTCAAAGGATGAGTGAAACAGCCAGCTTTCTACAAGATGCCATCCTTTGTCAGCAGAAACAACTAGGCCTAGCCTAACCTAGCACATTGGCTTCCTCCTCAGAAACCAGATGTGGGCTTTCCTTTAGAGTTTATCTCTTCCCAGCTTCTTGGGGTGTGCTAATATTTGCATGGAAAGGCATAAGCTGCAAAGGGCGGTGTTTGAGAGAGGCTTAGTTCTGCACCCCACGTTTCAGTGGGCTTATCTAGTATTTGTGAGTATTTCAAGAGCTTTTGTTCCTGCAGGAGTGGTGACGTTACTTTCAGATTACGAAGTCTGCAAAGAAGGGGACGTTCTCACCCCCGAACAAGCCCGTGTGCTGGTGAGTGATGCTAGAATGCAGCATCTGCATGAGCCCCTGTCTCCCCCAACACAAAATAATTAACTGGTTTAATTCCACTGGAGGGTGTGAGTTCCCAGACGAAGGTGAGCAGCACTCCTGGTTAGCAGGGTGCAGCAAACATCCTTATGCATTGTTAATGTGAGTGCTAAAACTCTGCAGCAGTTATTTTGGCTCCCGCTTTGCTGCTGTTCCCATCTGGAAGTGGCATTTGTTGTCTGGTTTTGCTAGGCTGGCCAGAGAGACAGTAAAGCAGGAATGACGGATTTGTGTCCTTTCCTAGAAACTCTTTGGCTACGAGATGGCAGAGTTTAAAGTCACCATCAAATTTTTGTGGAATTCTGAGACGGGAGACTTTCAGAAGCTTGTGGGAAACTCAGCAGAGGAGGAGGAAGAGGAGGAGGAGGAGGAGGATGACGACAGCAATGAGGACTAGCAGCAGTCCTTGCACTTGGACACCAGACAATTTTACTCTATTTTAGAGGCAAAAAGAAGAGGATGTTTCCTTTCCCTGTTTACACCAGGAGGACAAGGACAATAAGCTCAAACATCTTCATAAAAGATGACCGAATTATGCTTTTTTAATATAAATCTGTATATAAAACTTCAGATGGTTGTCACTGCTGACTGTTACTGTTTGACTAACCCAGGACCTGAGGCAATGTCACCTCAAACATGAAAGCCAGGCAGAAAGCATGTAAATGTAACACAATTTAGCCATAGCACACCTGGAGAAGATGCTGAGGGTTTGTTCTTCTGAAAAGAACTTCAGAAAAAGCTGTTCAGCTTAGTGTCACCAAGCACTGATGAGGAGATGCCAGGCAGTTTATAGGAACAGTTAATGAGATGAGGTCTGCATTAGAGAAAGGTTTTATTCTTGTATGTAATTATTTAAGATCATGTTAAAGCAGAACTGAGGCCTTTCCTCAGGTATGTGCCCATTTTCCACGATCAACCACATCTTTAAATCATAGTGTTCTGTGTAGAGCTGAAGGTCCACAAGGGGAGAAGGACTAAGGCATGGCCCAGCACAAGTGCTGAAAGTGGTAGTGGATCCTACAGAGCTTCATTAATACAGGAAAAAAAATCTCAACCCATCTGAACATTGATCAAAGGAGCAGGGTGGGTAAGTACCTCTCCCATGGTTCAAGAAACTTGTCCTCAATTATACACCCCCCCCCCCCCCCC